CAAATGACCCATGCGCAGCTCCCACTGACTTCATGAAAGAATCTTATAGGCTCCTCCTCGAACGCCACTTAAATAAATTCAAGTAAATAGAAATGGCTGTAAGTGATAACTGATTATATTCCAATTCACAATCAGGATTATCTCGTAAAGTGAAAGTAAAATTTAATGGATATTTTGACTTTTAAATTTGAATTTTCTCTTTACAAGAACCCTGTCTGTCTTGCGTCAGGCATTTTCAGTAAAACCTAAAACATTTTTATGATGAAAGTCAGCTGCTAGCTGGGTGCTTGTCGTCATGGATAGGACTAATTCAGCAATGATCAATAAATGTTTATGGTACAAAACTAACTAAACTGTAATTGCTCTATGGCTGTATAACCTGTGTACAAGGTATCGGCACTGACACTGGTTGGGCTAATTAAATGGATCATAGGGCTTGGTTACACGGGGCTGTCTAGTGGCTGATACGGAAAGTAGTAATAAGTAAAATGTGTGGAAGAGATGCAACACACTCTCATAGAGCTAATCAGAGATTAAACTGACACTTTTGGCACCCAGGCCACTTCAGCTCATTGAAGTGGTCTGGGTGCAGTGTCCCCCTTAAAGCGACATGCCCAGTTAAACATTGGGACACTCTGTATTGTCTGAAATTCAGAGGGGAATTTTGACTACAGTATTAATTTATTCATCAAAATGAGTGCTGTGAGTAGGTGCATGTCTACTAAACAGTGAGCAGTCTGTGGATGCTCACTGTTGTAAAAAGAAACCTCCCCTTAAAGTGCCCCATGGTGGGCACTTATGTCCCCCTCCACCCGTGGCCTGCAAGTGGAGGCTATTCAACTAAAGCTTGGGTCCCCAGCCCGTCCCCCACCCATTAGTGGTGTTTGGGTGCCCTAAGTGACAATGAGGGTGAGGACCTATTTGTTTACCTTTTTTGTTTTGATCATAACGTATACAATTTCTTAAGTGGCTACAATAAATGTGTTTAGAAATCAGTCTGTGTAAATATGATACATTGTTCATTATCTAAATTACATTTTAATTGTATGAATTAAGTCACCTAAAATTTCAAAGAACAGCCCAGCTGCTGGCCACCCCCCAAATCACACGCAGAATGCCCGCACACCCTTAAAAAATTTTTTGTTGGTATGTCATTGTGATGTACAGTTTTATATAATTTGATGTGTGTACATTTCAAATAATTGTTGTTTTGTTTGTTTTTTTGATACTATGTTGCATGTTGGTTTAGGGTGCAACCCATATTCTGAGCCATGTCCATCTTAACTTGGCAGCTAACAAAGCATTAAAGGGAGTTGAAGTTCCACAACAAGTGTGCTGGCGATCAGTCCCTTCATATAGCCTGTTATTTGCATTTAGAAAGGAACATTGTTTAGTGTTGTAACCAGGTATTACTCTGGGTCTAGAAGTTATCCATACTAGTATTTCAGGTATTGTCTAGGAAAGTCCAAGCCTTCTATTCTCTGGTGTTTTATTTCTTTACAGCAAGTTCCACCCTTTCTTATATAACCCGTAATTACAGCCAGTGAGATCTGGAGTAAAGGTGCATGGTAGCTCATATTTACAGTTTTAAGGGACGTTATCCGGTCCTCACCTTCTGAATGAGAATCAAAGCGTGCAGCTTCCTTGTTCAGTGTGTGTGTGTGTGCTCAGTAATAGGGGTCTGCTCAGATAAAACCATACTTAAAGAATCTAAGTTTGCTTCATATACCAAGCTCTGTAGACACTTGGGCCCTTTATCTAAGAAACAAAAAATGTAATCACAATATTCACAGAAACTCACAAATCTAGCTGGCCAGTATTACTGGAAAGATGGCTAAGGTCCTTGTGGTTATACAGTGTTGGCAATCGGGTGAGAGCATGACCATAGAATGCGTCCAGTTCCCCTCTTTCTATGAAGACCGTGCTTCTAATGTCTGTGTTGGTCTGCCTTGTGGGGGCCCCAAAACGCATGGCAACTGCAATCTGTACTCTATGCACCACTTTGTCCATGAGCAGTGTCGTGTCAGACTTTAAACGACAGTGTGATTTATTCAGCGAGGCATAACACCATTCCAATAGATGCTCTAGTCTGTAACCTCACTGCATTCCTGTTATAGTCCTGGCTTTAACAAAGTCTTAGTGAAAGCCAACAGGACATGGACGTCGTCAAAGTCCAGGTCCTGTCTCTCATATTGTACCCTAGCTGGACAAATACAAGACCGGTAAGAGTCAAAACAACCTAATGAAGGCAACAAGTTTGAGAAATGAGCATGTTGGTAGCACAAGTGACTTAACTACTCCAGGAAAGCAGAAGAAGGATATGAGGGTGAAGGGGCAAAATATGAAAAACTAAGTTTAACTGTGTGTATATATGTATATATGTATGTGTGTGTGTGTGTGTGTGTGTATATATATTTATATTATCTGAGGTCAAATAAAGCAAAAACAAATGTAGACTTCGAAGATAACCTTTTGGAACTTGAAGGGTGAAACGTATATTAGTAAGGGTTTGGTTCAACCAAAAAGAGAGCTTATAACTGTAAGATGAGAACAGACAAAGTCTATAAAGAAACGGCCCAGAGGAAAAAACTCAAACGTTTAGTAATGGTAATGACGTTTCAGTTTATCAGAGAGTGAATTGTATGTCAGTACAGTTCAGGCAGGCTCCGTAGGAGTGGGAATCCATATTAAAGCGATGGAGAAAAGAGTTACAGTTGGGAAAGTTAGATGGTTCTATACAAGCCAGTCAAGCTTGGAGGTGATTAGGGGTGGTGGTCTCACAGTGATATTGGGACGAGGGAAGGGTTTTTTGGTTTTTTTGGATGGCTGTCCCCAGCACATTTGCTGACATCATGTTAGCTTGTAAAAACCCAGAGATTATCCGAATGCACTTATGCTGTAAGTGCACGTTTGAACTCGATCCTGCCTGACCAGTTCCAGGAATGTGATAGTGCAGATTTTTTTTATTATATGAAATCTGTAGACTTGTGTGTGGTTAAAAAAAAAAAAAAAAAACTTAAATTGAACCGGTTCCTATGAATCAAATTTCTTTTAAATCAATTCTTCAGGAATTTACTATTGGAGGTAGAGGACTCCACAGGTAAATTTGGATTAGACAAACTCGCTTGGAAGCCATGTTTTTCTTCACTGATGCCTTAAATAAAACCGTAGTTAATTATTCTTTACAGTATCGGCAGCAGCAGCTCTTTAATTGATGTGCTTGGACAATTTGAATCACCAATCAGGAAAATTTCACCAAAGTTAACGTACACGTTGGTGCCTTGATAAACCGAGATAGGAAAACAAAACTAACTATATGAGAAATGCATTTTATATTATGTATGGTTTTTTTTTTTTTTTTTTTCAATTTTGGTCTGAGTCCAATGTGTAGGACGAAACGCGTAGGATCTCCAGGGAGGTCAGAAAGACAGTAAGGGGTCTCAGGACATGGCCCTCCCCAGGGAGGACAGACAGTGAGGGGCCCCCCTGGGAGGACAGACAGTGAGGGGCCCCCCAGGGAGGACAGACAGTGAGGGGCCCCCCAGGGAGGACAGACAGTGAGGGGGTCTCAGGACATGGCCCTCCCCAGGGAGGACAGACAGTGAGGGGGTCTCAGGACATGGCCCCCCAGGGAGGACAGACAGTGAGGGGGTCTCAGGACATGGCCCTCCCTGGGAGGACAGACAGTGAGGGGGGTCTCAGGACATGGCCCTCCCCAGGGAGGACAGACAGTGAGGGGGTCTCAGGACATGGCCCTCCCTGGGAGGACACAGTGAGGGGGTCTCAGGACATGGCCCTCCC